GATCCCGTTGCCGGTCCCGGTCCAGTACGGGCGCGACACTGAGGGTTGCGATCCGTTGCCGGACACGAAAAAAGACAAAAAAAAAAAAAGAATTAAAGATGCGAACGACCCCCCCAGCTATGAAGAAAGAATATGAAGCCAGTGGTAAAAAGTAATAGGGTTGTCCCTTTGCTTTTCCACTCAATTCCAAAAATGAAGATTATGTTCCAAAGACCCAAATGATGAGTAAGTGGCAGGCAACATGCAGGAAATGATGCAGCTGAGAAGAGGGAAATTGCAGCAACAGGCAGATTTTCTGGGGAAGGATCCCTCAATGTCCGTCTAGAGGAGAGAGTGGGAGAAGAGGTCATCATGCAGTCACAAATGCAAGGCAACCGCGGAGAAGGCCAGAGTCTCCTATATAGACTTTCTAGCTTCACATCTAAAAGGTGAGTAATTTCAATCTCGGGATGGGCTGTTAGTAATTGAAATTATAACTGTTACAGGATGGACTGTTAGTAATTAAAATTATAACTGTTGCCATCGTAACTCTTAGATGATCAGAACTATTAAGATTCTAAGTTTAGAGACTAAAAAACAACAGGTGTCATTGGACCAAATTGCTAGCAAAACAGACGTATACTCATCTTCCTCTAAATGGGCTATTGTGTTTTCCCCATGAATTTTAACCAGAGTCCCTCTAAAAATAAATAACAGCCTAGATCTTGATGACAGGCAACAGAAAGGTATATTTGTAAAGAGCATGAGGCTCCACAGCTCCTTATAACTTGTTAGTAAGTATGAACTACACTGCATACTTAAAAACTTACATTAAGTAGCTATAGATGGGTCATTTTTATTGTAAAGGCTGATCAAGGAAAATACCCTTGGTTTGGTAGATCTCTTTGAGGACCAGCAACACTGTATCTTCAGACTCCCTGTAAACAGAAACAAATTATGTTGAGAAAAAAAAGGAACTAATATTTGTGCTAGATGCTTTTCATATATTAATCTCATTAAATCCATACAACCACTTTGCAAATTCATTTTTTACTACTGCAAAAAACAGACTCAGGGCCGGCCTGTGGCTCACTTGGTAGAGTGCGGTGCTGATAACACCAAGGCCACGGGT